CACACACAGACACACACACACACGTGCACACGCACGCGCGCGCGCGCACACGCACGCCCACCCACCCACACGCAGACTTGGAAAGGCCGTGTGAGGAGTGGTACGAGTGGTACGACGGTGAGATCGGAGAACGACATGACGCCGTGCTCCCGCAATAAGGGGCTACAGTGCACAAATATCCCGCTTGAAGAAACAAACTTCTCCTGCTGAATGCAAACCTGCGGCTACCTCGCACCACGCGAACATTACTTGCGACATCTCGCGTTGGTAGAGGGACGCTGGAGGGCGAAACGATGGAGACTAGAGTGGTGGTGGGCCGCCACCTACGACACTAGGATCACAAAGGGGAAAGAGAAGCAAGAATGCGGTGCTTTTTGTCCGAAAGCCCCTGGAGAAGCGCCCGAAGCGTGTCAGCTTCCAGGCCGCAGGCGGAGGGGGCTCGGCATTTTCTCCCGAGGCTTGGGAGATCCGGTCGAAGGCTGCAGGTACTAGGGTTCAAAGTTGTAAAGGAGCCGGAAACCTGAACCGCCAATCCTGAACTCTTAAACCAATACCCTGGCACTTCTGCACCCACAAAAAAAAACTGAAGCTCAAAGTGCCTGCTTCAGCAGCTGGCTCTTGGCCACGCCAGGATCGCCCATCATCAGGGTGTGGATGTCCCCACGGATTTTGAGACCATCCTCTCCACTTGCAAGGACAATACATGCATCCGTCTCTCCTTCGATCCATGTCTACATACAATGACATACAACGTTACATTTAACCACACATTGACGTACGTATGTCAAGCCCCGCCAACAACAAGAACGTGGAGAAAAATCTGTCACATCAACAGGAACCGAACCTAAAGCAGCCTTTGGGGAAAAGGTTAACAGTAACACACAACCTACAGAAAATCAAGGGAGGCAAATGTTGACAACCTCGGCATTGACCACACCTTTCGGTGCCAAGTGAAGGGGCATTGATTCCACATAAAGGGAGACAAGGGGGACAAGCGTCGAAAACACTGGCATTGGCCACCCACCCACAATGCGTAACGTCGGCATCTTCTTTCCATGCTAGCAAGAAACCTACCCCCAACGGTCCCAAATGAAGGGACAGGCGGAGGCAGGCGTCGGCATCAGCCACTCGCAGCGTCGTAAGTAAAGTCCGACAACAGGAAAGAAGGGGAGGCAAACGTGGAAAATCCCTGCATAGGCCATTCCCGGCGGTGGCAAATGCAGGGAGACAAGGGGAAACCGATAATCTGTGTAAAACTGAAAGAAAACAAGAGCACACCACTCGGACGCGACTGGAGCTTTTGAGCACCAGGAGCCAACCGCTCGATTTTGACAAAAGAGGAGAAGCGGTGAACAATGCGCTCAAAAAAGATTCGGGATTTGGAGCACTAGCAGCAAGCGGAAAGACCAAAAGAGTGAACAAGTGCAGGCTGTGAGCAAGAGGGGGAAACCAGACGAAAGGGAACTAGAAATTCCAGACCCAGCAGCAAACCGCTCGAAAGAGCCTAATTGAGAAAGCAGGGCCAAGGGACCGCTCGACAGAGAGTACACAACTTGACAAAACAGAAACAGGAGTGAACCAGCCGAAAACACAGTAGATACTGTGAGAAGCAGGAGCAAAGCCCTTGAGAGAAACTATAGTAACTATAGTTCGCAATTGAACACCAAGAAACAGTTGCAAATTCCGTCGAAAAGGGCTAAAAACATTGGAGAAGCAGGAACAAACCGCTTCAAAGAGAGCACAGACTTTGACAACGAGGAGAATTTGGGAAACAGGAGCAAACCAGTCAAGAGGTGACTCGAACGTTAGACAAACAAAAGCAAATCGCTCGAAACAGACTAGAGAAGTTGACAGATATGGAGACTTGAGAAAGAAGGGAACACCCGTCGAAATGCGCAGGAAAATCGCAGAACAGAAGCAAACCGCTCGAAAGCCATAAGGGAATACGGCGAAAAGCAGAGCTTGAGAAAGACGCGCGACCCAGTTGAAAGTCGCTGGACGAAGTGTTCAAAAGGAGCAAACTGCTCGAAAGAGCGGCTGGTTTGCATTTCCTTCTCAAATTCTCCTCCAGGTCAAACTCTCCAGTCCCTTTCGAACATTCGTTCTCGTTCTCAAGATTGCTAAAACGTTTTCAGGCGGTTTTCCTCACATTGTTTTGATATTCTCATCCGCTTCGACATGCGCGCTCCTGTTTCTCAAATTCTCATTTCGTGAGATGCCCCGGTCTGCCTTAAACGGATGACTCGGGTTTCTCAAAGGTTCCTTGCTCTAACGCTCTGTCCAACCCATTCGTCTCTTTCGAGCGGTTTGCGCTTCTGTTTTTGAAATGTTCTAATTATCCCTCTCGACTGGCTCACTCCGCTTGCTGGCACTGGCCGCACCCACCCTTCCAGAATGAATAGAGACGGGGTCGTCACGCCTGTGGGTGTGCCCCTGCCGCTGTAGGTGTGGGTTTTGGTTTGCCCAATCCATCATGTGGTGTGGCTTCATGCGCGATGAGGGGTCAATGATGGCAATCACGAGGAGCCTCTGTCTGTGATCGTTGATTCACGGCCAGTTGAAGCTCCAGACATGGTCACGAGCACAATGACACCAGACCACTCTTGGCACTTTGGTGGAGGTGTCCTCTTGATATCAAGACGCTAACAACGACGACAGCTACGACATGTCCACTTCTTGCCAACGAGGGGTTGGTCCTTCATCTGCTTGGTAGGCGCACCGATCAAGACCAACAGAAGTGCCTTCTTCAGGTCCTGAGAGCAGGGAAGATGAAACGTCAAAGCTGCGAGTTGGTTAGTCTCATTATGTGTTCTCCAGAAAGGTCATGCACGAGCTGCTGCTACCAAAGAAGAATCAGGGTTGGCACCGAGCCACTGAAGGAAAAACACCTGCTCTGCTAGAAAAGACGATCCCAACCATCAGCCCTCAACCCAAATTACCACATGTGAGCTGCATGTATGTATGTATGTATGTATGTATGTATTTTTTGTATGTATGTATGTATGTACGTATGTATGTGTACGTACGGTACGTACGTATGAATTTGTGTTTGTTTGCTTGTGTGCTTGTTTGTTTG